CTATGCCGAGAGTTCTGAGAATTTCTGTTTTGATTTCGCTGATCTTGCCGATATCCAGTTTCTTCGTGCAACAGGGTATGGTGGAATTGTCGGCACTTGCGGCATCGCTCTGTGGAGAGACAACGACTTTTGGCGTCATGTTTTAGACAGTTTGGGCACAACTTTCCTTCTTTAACTGCTGTCAGTCTTGCAGCGACTGTCAAGGCTTGAAATTTTGGGCATAAATAAAGCTTGTGTGGTTGTTTGCAGTATGAGCATGTCGAGTTATCTCTAGGCGTTTCCTTTTTGATTGCGTCATTCGACGTTTCTAGTGAGTGAAACCTTTTCTGGATGAATTTCATCAACACATCAATAAGCTGTATTTCATGTGGTGCGCATAATGATTGTTCATACAACCTGTTAGTCTCAGTATCTCATCTCCTAGTTATGATTCTGCTTATCATTGGACCCCAGGAGGACGTGTCTATGTTTAGGTTGTTCAAGACTTTTAGACATTCGAAAATTGTATCGTGCAATTGTTTAAGTTTGAATGCGGATTCGTGCTGGATACTTAGAATATCTATTATTCTGTCCATCAGTTTGTTCATTAGGAGGCGGTCGTTTGTGTAATGTTTATCAAGGATACTCCAACTTGTGTAATTGCTGCTTGTGATTTTCAGATGTTGAATTAAACGTGCTGCTTCTCCTCTGACGGTGATTTTAGATACTGCATCTTTTCAATGTCGGTTAAAGTATTATTATCGTGAACAACTTTTTAAAATATGTCACGAAATGTGGTCCACTCATCATACCGACCATCGAAGAAAGGCAGTTCAATTTGTGGCAGTGCAATGTTGCATGTTTTCGTCGACACTATTACGGTGTTAGTGCTATCGTTTAATGCCAAGGATATTTCTTCTTGACGGAACCTGTCTGGTTACATATAAAGGTTCGCAGATATTCAATAATAACAATAGGTCTTGATATAAAAATTACACAAAAATACAAAACAATATAGAAAATGAAACAGAGTAAAATACAATAAGATGAAATCAGACAGAAAACACTGAAAAATATAACAGTAAACATAGATTGTTAGGCAACTTTGCCGTAATTTAACCAACCCTGTATCTCTCACCGTTTCTGAGATTCCAATGATATGGCTCGAATTTGAAACACCCTGTACATGTCCAATCGAACCTATTAGGCTCCAAGACACTAGGTTTTCTTGAACCATCTCTTCCATATCCAGTTTACGACAGTTGCTCTTTTTTATAGTGGAGTGAGAGTGTCAGGTTAATTTTTGATCTATTCAAACATGCTTTATTATCAAAAGACTATAATCTTTGACGAACAGGTCTTCAATTTGGACGGATACAAAACTATATACAATAGGGGACAGTATAACAAGTGCGATGGGACAATTGTATTTTTGAAAAATACAATACCCCACACCTATAAATTCGAATACATCGGTCAAGTAAAAGCCATAGAACTAGAACTCGATACGAATCTAAATCATAAAATTTTAATAAGTTGTATATACAAATCCCCTAATATCACCAAAGCAGAATTTATTAACGATTTTGCACAGTATCTTGAAATGAAAAAACATGCAAAAAACCATATAATTACTGGAGACCTCAATATGAATTTACTATCATTATCACCTGAAGACGAAGAATACAAAAATATTCTAAATTTCTATTTCTTTACGTCTTATATTAACACAGTAACTAGGCCTCAAACAAAATCATGTCTTGATCATTATTTCGTAAAGGTCTGTAATCAGGATGTTTTGGAAACGCCAAAATCTTTTGTATTGAAAATCGATTTAACAGATCATTATCCAATTGTTTTAAGCTTACCAACTAAAGAACTTAAAATAAATGAAAATATTCGACACACAAAAAAATATATTAATTATAATGCTCTAAAAACTGATTTAAACAAAGAAAACTGGAACATGGTATATACAGAAAAAGATCCTAGTAAAGCAATGGAAGCTTTTATTCATGTCCTAACGCAATTCATCAAAAAACACACCCAAGAAATCAAATTAAACAATAAGAATTTCGGAAGAAAAACTTGGATCACAAAAAGCCTACTTAAGAAAATACAATACAAAAATGATTTGTACATAAAATGTCAAAATGCGCCACACAATGAACAATTAAAAGAAACATACAAAAATCACAAAGCGGAATTGAATAAAATTATCAAAACAACAAAAAAAAGATATGTACAAACACAGATAAACCAAAATCAAAATAAAAATAAAACTCTCTGGAATTGTGTAAACAATATATGTACCAAAACGAAGATTGAAAAAAATAAAATAGAAAATATAAAAATAGAAAACGGAAAAACCTTAAATAACTCAAAAGACATAGCTAACCATTTTAACACATATTTTACAGAACTGGGGCAAAAACTAGCTAGTCAAATAAATCTGACAGGCGATGACGATATCATTGAAAACATCGAACACTCTATTTATTTGCACCCCACAACACAAAATGAAGTAAGGAATATCATTACAGACTTAAAAAAAGGAAAAGCTCCCGGCATTGACGGGATTAAATCAGAAACATTACAAGAATTGAAAAATGAAATATCTTTTACACTTGCATACATTATTAATCTCTGTTTTGATTCGGGAACTTTTCCAGATATTTTAAAAATAGGACAAATTACACCTATACATAAAAGTGGTTCATTAGTCGACACAAGCAATTATAGGCCCATATCATTAATTTCCAACATTGCCAAAGTTTTCGAAAAAATTCTGAAGACTCGCTTGACATCATTTTTAAATAGATTTTCTATTCTTTCTGACGAACAGTATGGCTTTAGAGAGAAAAAATCAACACAAGATGCTATTTTAAAATTAACATCCCATTTGTATGAGTCTATGGATAAATCGAAACCGTCATTGTGTATCTTTGTTGATCTCTCGAAAGCTTTCGATACCGTTGATCACACTATTTTACTCAGAAAGCTTAGTTACTACGGAATTAGAGGTACCGTATTAAGTCTACTCAGAAGCTACTTAACAAACAGAAAGCAATTAGTAACAGTAAATGGTGTCGAAAGTTCTTACCAAAATGTCACGTGCGGCGTACCACAAGGCACAGTACTTGGCCCTTTACTTTTCATTATATATGTGAACAGCCTTTTCAAAATGAACTTTTTAGGAAAAATTGTAAGTTACGCTGACGACACTGCCATATTCTACACTAGTGACTCTTGGCAAACCCTTAAACCGACTGTTGAAATGGATTTTTTAAGAATTGCTAAATGGCTTGCTGCAAACAAACTATCGCTAAACGTAGCAAAAACAAAATATTTGAGTTTTGCGTCCTATGTCAGTGGTCTGCCACACCTTGGTTCCCTTAACATAAACCAAAACATTTTGATACCAGAAGTAAATTCAATAAAATATCTAGGAATCACATTAGATCGGCATCTAAAATGGGACCTTCATACCAACGAGGTAACCAAAAAATTACGATTCTTCATCTCGAAATTCAGACGGTTGAAAGATTTTTTGGACATCCAAAACCTTCGGATGCTATATTTTTCATTTATACAATCGCAACTAACATACGGGCTCTGTGGATGGGGTGGTGTTAGGGACTATTATATTGGCTCTATGGAAATTGTTCAAAAGTGGATTTTGAAAATAATATACCAAAAAAAGCGTTTGTTTCCTTCAGATGAACTTTATCAAATATCGGGCATATTGGATATTAGACAATTGTACGTTCAAAATATATTAATGAACATTCATAAAGAAAACATTAAAATTGAATACCCTGCACATTCCTACACCACACGAGCTCGAAATAGAATGGCAGTTCCAACAAAAACACAAAAATCGGTTGGTCAAAGATGCTTTTCATATTATGCTCCAAAATTATATAATGCTTTACCTGAAAATCTTAAACAAAAATTCCAACAAAAAAATAAAATAAAAGTTCTTATAAAAAAATGGATTCAACAGACAGGACGACAAACATTTCACGAAATACTTAGATAACAAAATTAAATAATGTGTACCTACTTTTAATATGTAATTTATATATGAACTAAAATTTAAAAAAACCCCCGATTTTGACTGTTTTACATGATTTTGGCATATTTACCCAATGTTGACAATGTTAAACCAGGCTAAACAGATTTTTCCCGATTTGTGTTTTCATTCTTGAAAAAGAAATGATTAAGAATCTCAATCAATAAGATAGATATCTTAATTTAAGATAGGTATGTTTAATAATTTAGATGATAGCTGAGTATATTATATTTAAGTATAGTTTAAGTAAGTAATATAGATAATAGATAGCTACATCACGTACAAGCAGATTAATTTCTGCTTCTGTGATTATTGTTTATTTGCTAGATGTAAGTTTTTTCCACTGTAAACTTGCTATTGTAAACTTAGTAAATAAACTTTATTATTATTATTATTATTATTATTATTGTAGAAAAAGCCATACGATTAAAGCATTTAAGAGGAATAATATGGTTAGAAAAATTATCGCAATTAAGGTGTCTTGCTTATACCTAAGACAGAATTTTATCTGTTTTAGAAGAGACGTATCTTGATCTTTGATAACTTGAAAAAGTTAATATTCGTTTTCTATCCAATGTTTCGGGCTCGGCTAGTTATTTGAGCCTCTTTTTTTTCTGAAAATAGAATAATAATTACTGTTTTTACCAGTATTGACTTGTAAGCACCATTTGCCTATTTTATGACTATAAGTTTTTAGCGATTTTGTTAAAACAAATGAAAAACGTGTTGCAAAATTTATATTTTTACTGATAATGCTATACAGCAATAATATAATTTGGTTTGTTTGATATTTTTCATAAAATTAGGCCTTGCCCTGATTCGTCAGTAGTCAGTAACTATAATTTTTTCAATTGGATGGGTTATGTTAATGTATATTGATAAGCTACAATTACAAAGTCATACCTACAATTACTTATTTTAAACGTATGTTTTTTTTTTATTTCAGTTGATTGCCGTTCCCCAATCCAGTATTGGCAGCAAGCTGAATTAAAAATAGCAAAACTCCACTTGGAAGCAAATTTGTGATTTATGTATCATTTGAGTATTAAAAAGAGCTGTGAAGAATCTCGAAAAGTATCACCATGACGAAAACGGAAGAGTCTGTTTACAGTAGTGACCTGTCTTACCCCAAAGAAACAAAGAAGTGCCTATTGTATAGAATTTTTGGTAAGTAATCGAGGAGTTCACTGTTTGCACAGTGAAGAAAAATATTATTTATTAAGCTTTTCTTTGCCCTATCAGCGATATTTGACACTTATTTAAAACTCATAACTTAAAGGCAACTAAGTAGTCGATGATATCATTAGTGTAACACGCACATGTCTCGATGTCAGTCCTCGGCGGTCCCTTAACTAAAATTCACTCCTATTTCACATACATTCAATTATTATTGACTTTAAACTACAGGACCGACATTTCTGTTCATAAATAATGCATCACATTGTTGATAAATATGTAAAATGGTATTAGATTGATTTCAGGAAATAGTACTTTTTAGTTTAGTCATATAAGTATTATCTGTTGTAGTGGTGACCTTAATAACCTTCTTAGTCCTTTAGTGTAATTTGCATTTTTATCTGTTTTGTGTGTATAAAAGTGGGCGATTTTTGTAGTTAGTTGAAATGGATAATGTGTACATGAGTACTTTTGGTAAGTGTGGTCCATATTGTAGATAATAAAAACCAAACCATTTTTTTGTTAATTTATTTGGTCAATTTCCTATCAAGGCAAAGTATTGAAGGACTCATTCATTTGAAATGATAAATATTTCATAGCCTACATCAATAATATTAGATAAACCAAATCTGTCTTCCGATAAATAAAATACAATAAGCTTTCGATAGGACTGATATAAAAATGATAGTAAATGAGTGACACCTCAAATTATTCACAGGCTAAATTATTATTGAACAACACAAAATGACAAAAATAGGAACTATATGTTTTGTTATCTAATCTAAATACAACTAACTGGGTCTGCATAGATTAAATAGCCAGGTATTTGCCCTGAGGTTAGAATATGTTTTGCTGCAACAAGAATTTAGGTAAAAAAAAAACGATTATAATAATAGTAGGTAACTCAGATTGAAAATGATTTTTTTTCTATATGGGTCAATTTAAGTCACATGAAACGAGTATGTTTAAGAATGATATGTTCAATTGGAATCAGGCACTTCAAAATAGGAAAAAATCAATAATAATTATGATCTAGAGAATTGAGTTTTGTGTTTGTCTTATCAGGTTTCTTTTAACTCAATTTTTAGACCATTACAAATTTGTTTTTAGGTCAAGTACCTGCAAGACTAGTACTCTACCTCCTATCATGGTCTGGTTTCCTAGTATCTTTCATGATGCGCAACGACATCAACTTAGCTATTGTAGCTATGGTAGCTGAACCACCCAGAATAGCTTCTAACTCTACTGCCGAATATTGCTTTGTAGTCGAGGATAACAACAATACTGCTCCAGTCGTAAGTTTTCAATTTAATCATTTATAATACAATTATTATAAAAAAATATAATGAGATGATTGCATAATTGGATACACCTTATGTCAATCAATTTTAATTTTCTTGGAATAACCAGAACAACCTATAACTAGTTATTAAGTTATCATCCTTTATGTTTTTTTTTTCAATCATTTATTGCTCAAGTAGTTATTATGCAAACAAAATACTTTTCAACCTTTGTTTTGCATGCATTTATGCTGCAATGCTTTTGACTCGGCTTTTGATAAAGGAAAAATTATGAAGGACAAAAAATTACATTATGCTAATATTTATACTTGATATTCATATACAGTGAGTCCAAAAATCCTGCATAAATACATTATTTTGAAAATATTAGTAGCATTTCGCGCCCTTGATACAAAAATAACTATTATTGTCAGAAAACAAAAAAGAAAAAAAGTCTTATTGACAAAGCAAATACTTAAAACTAGATTATGTTTACGATTACAATAATTTTGAATAATGAACTCGACACAAGCATAAATAAAATGTAAAAAAATGTAACAAACAAACAAATTAGAAACCGTCCCTAAAATCCAATAACGAATAGGCAAACATTTCGGAACATAAAACAAAATAGAAATAAAACAAAATGAAAACTAGCAGGCAATACCCAACTTAAAAACATCATCATCCCTCTTGGCACCGATTCACACAAGCTAAAAAAATTGAGAAACATTTAATTTTCATATAATTCGCCAATACTATAGTATGCCTTGGCGACTAGATGGTCCTTTACAAGCTTCCTAAAATTTTCATAAGTACCACTATTCTTAATTTCCTCAGGCAGATGGTTGAACATTTATAGTAATAGATAACAGAGTGTTTTGTTCAGGTGTACTTTGGTATTGGTGGGGGTAGTTTAACTTGACGCAGATTATAACTGTTATTCTGTACAAAACCAAAAAACTTCTTACAGATCAAACTCACAGATACCAAAACAAAAATACAAGGCACCATCAATATCTCCTCTCGCCTAAATAACGGTTGCCACGATTCTCTGCATCTCCTACCAGAAAAGTAGCGGACAATTATTTTTTGCAGAACAAACACCGATTGAACCGATCTCTAAGTTGCAAACCCCCAGAAAGCAATGTCATAGCGTATATGTGACTCTAGCAGCGAGAAGTATATAATTTTCGCCGCATCCTCACCAAGCTCCTGAAAAATAGTTCTGACAATGTAACAGCCTGTAGCTAGTTTTTTGGTTGGAGTATCAATGTGAGTTTCAAATTCCAGTTGCAAAAGTATATGCAACCCTAAAAACTTTATGGTTGATGTCATTGGTTGATTTGATTTCCAGAGGCCTTCCTTGAAGTTTGACATTATCCAGGACACACTTAAACCTAAGTACATTTGCTTTTTCCACATTAAAACACTGTTTGTTCGAGTCGCACCAGACTTTTATTGTCAAAAGATCTTTCTCAAAGCTGATCGATCCAAATCTGAGTTTTTTTCGGTTCATAAACAATTTGCGTCATCAGCAAAGGCAGTAAGTTTAGCTGAGACCGGTAACGACAGCAAATCATTAACATAAACAAGGAACAAAATTGGCCCCAGTACCGAACCCTGTGGGACCCCATGCTCAACCTCCATTCTCGCCGAGTCGGCACCATTCAGACGTAGAAACTGGAACCTCCGCGAAAGCATTGAACCGAACCAATCCAAGAAAGCATCCGGATGCCACAATGAAACAGTTTCCGCAGCAGTATTTTGTGGTTCACGCAGTCAAAATCCTTTGAGAAGTCACAGAACACCGTTGCAGCAATCTCGGACTGATCCAGACAAAGGTACAACTCCTCGACAAATGTAAATATGGCGTCGTTTGCAAGATTTTAGTCAGATTATTAAATAAATTAATGAAAACTAAAAATTTAAACGAAAAATCACGTGATTGAAAACGCTCTCTGATTGGCTAAAGCCGGTTTTGACGTTTTTGTTGCCACATGTTCATGTAGAAATGCGAAATTTAAATGAGTTAATAAGGATATACCTATCCTCTATTTTTTTTAAATGTAGTAAAGGACGAAAATAGTTTCTAGCTAGTGAAATGTGTAATGATTTACTAATGAGAAATTTGGCATCCTCGCATTTTTGTTGATTTTCTGGTTTGTGACGTCACAAACCAAGTTCGCGTTTTCGCGCCAGTTTAAAAATTCGATTTTTAAATAATTTTTTTTTTCAAAAATAAGCGTTTTTTTCGGAAAAAAGTATACAGATAGTATTAGAATGACTAAAAGAATAATTTAAATAAGTTTTTGAAAAATTTGAAAGTGGCCCATTTTTTCAATAATTTTTGACAGGGTACTCAGTAATGAAATAGGACGATAGTTTGCCGGATTTGTACCTATGCCTCCCTCAAAAATCGGTATCACCATTGCTGTTTTTAAGCAAGGGGGAAATATACCTGTATTCAGTGACCAATTAATTGCCAGTGCCAAAACTTCTATCGCCGCGTCTGGCAAATTCTTCAAAATTTTCACAGATATGCATTAGTCCAGGAGGCAGTGAAATTTTTTAGCACTTATTTTCCCAGTTGGTGTATATTAAATAGTTTGTTCTCTTAGTGATACAAAACAAGAATATTTGAGTTTCACAAAAATTTTCGGATGGGTTCACAAGATCAATGAAAAATACAAGTACACTTATTTTCCCAGTCATAAATATTTCACATTCACTACAATAGAACATAAAGTATATGAAAATAGCAGTTCAGTATACTTCTCATTAGTAGACCTATTTTTATCATTGGAAAAAAAAGGGCATTGCATTCGTAAGCTCTAACGCATTTTGCGCCTCAACCCATCGGAACCCCCCTCCCCCCCTAAAAATATATGAATTTTGCTTAGAATTACTAACCCTACAATTCTATCCATGTTGTCTGACTTGGAAAATAAGTGCCAAAAATCGTCACTGCCTCCTAGACTATATATCGTCAGTGCCGGATGCATTCTACTTGTTAATATCCTTGCAAACTCTTAATTTCTTGTTGGTTAGTTAATCTAAATCGAAAGCTCTTTGTGTGAGAGATTGATTGCAGGTAGGAATTCAAATCTTTAGACAAAGTTCCTGGAACAGATGTGTAAAAGGAGTTGAGTTTCTGAGGGCCTATATCATTTGAAACTTAGGACTTTGTTACCTTACCTCTCAATTAATTTATTATCCTCTAATATTCCCTGCTGTTATTCTCTGCATTGTTTATTCTACTTTCATAGAAAACATTTTTTGCCTCTTTATTAAGGCGTCTATAGATTTTCTGGTACTGATTGCAATAATCTGATACCTTTAGTTAGCCAAACCTTTTTAGTTTTTGTTTTAATTTTGCGCAAAGGAAAACTTTTATTCAGAATAAGTGTTACCCTTTACCCTTGTCTGAAATGATTCTACAGAATCCGCTGAAGTTAGACATTGATCCGAGTTCATTTGACTGGCCAAAGATCAAAAGGTATCAAAATTTCGTTTGCTGAATATTCTACGCTGCACATGACATTTCTTGGGTGCGCCATATAGACCCTGAAATAGGGCCTGTTTAGTGGAGTCATTTTTTTTTGTCTGGCATTTTGAGGGATGATGTGGTTAGTTAGCTGATGAGAATATAAATGGCCTCCTGTTCGAAATGTCCACAGAATGTTTTGCCGGAAAACTCGATTTCGAACTGTGATTACCGTCTGGCGATTTTTCAGCGTTATTTTCACAACAAAACCTTCCATTCTCTCAATTACCAAACAAAAAGTAAACGCGGAAGGTTCTTTTCTTTTCTCTTGGAAGTTGACACTCATCCCCACTTTTTCAGCTGTTGAAAAGCATCTGGTATTTTTCATGGGTGAATTATTCATTAATGTGAATCTTTTATTTAGAAGCCAAAAAATTTGAGATCATTAAAAAAAAATTCTTCATGTAAATCAATTTTTTTCTTCTGCAAATTTTCGAACGGGAGGCAGGCATTAAAACCACCCATATTCTCATTAGCTTAGTAGCTACATTCATCCCTCAAAATGCCAGACAAAAAAAAATGACTCCACTAAACAGCCCCTATCTCACAGTCTAATAGGAAATCATCAATTCCGTAGATAAAGCCTCGTAGTCGGAAAGTCCTGAGGGTAATATTTCAATTGATTGTGGTCGAAATTTCTACAAATAAAATCAATGGCTGTTGCAGATTCATTACTGATTCGAGTTGGTTCGTTAACAAACACGAGATCGAATGAACAAAGCAAATCAATAAGTGATCTTGTTGTATCATTGGACTCTTGGTTGTTTTAATTTATATTCAAATCTCCCTCAAAAATAAGTTTTGCTGACAGTGGGAACTTATTAAAAAGTGACTCGAGACTTTCCAAAAAATTTGGCATGCTTCCAGAAGAAGGTCTTTATACAGGGTCATTGATGGTCGATGGTAGGTTAGACGCTTATGGAAAACGAAAAGTTGGATGTTTTTGAAAATTTGCATGCCCCAGTTATTGCTCCTGATCTATCATTCTAGAATAATTTCAACGATGCGACGTTGCCGCTTATACCAAAAAGTAATACTTAAGTATAAAGTTTGATATTTTAAATGAGACACCTTGTATGTTATTGAATTTTTCGATCCGCTATTGCTTTCTGATTATTTTTGTATAATACTGTCCTCAAGACTGTCCTATGTCTATCTCTAGTGATTTTCGACTTATTCACTAATTTCCCTATTTTTTCTTCAAAACTGTTGTGCTGCCAGGTACAAAAAAGATGAAAACTGTACTTTTTTAAATAGAGCACTCTGTATATTATGAAATATCAAGACAATAAAAATCCCTTACAAATGATGTATTATGTTCCTATACCTAAATAGTAAGGTTTCGGAAATACAAGCAAGTTTTTGTTAGAATTGGATTATTTTGGGATATTTTTCTAATCGCGTTTCCGATTGGTAGATTTAATTCGCACTGAGTGTATTTCCATCTCTTTTTCTCAGCCTGTTGAAG